TAGAAAACTGTTTAAATACATTGTAAAGCTTTTTGAAAGACTACTATATTTCAATTTACAATTATATTTAATAATTAAAATTTATTTCAATTCTAAAATATTGATCATGAAACAAAAATAAATTCCAAAATGTACAATATATTGAATAATATCTAAATACATACAAATATACAATCCAAAATCTTAATAACATCTAATAATTTAATCTTTACATAATTAAAATCACATTCTAATTGTCCATTGAGCATGCCTAATTTAGTTATTTGTCCCCTCAATAACATCCAGCATTGAATCAGGGGAAAATAGACCTTCAATTCTTGATGCCATTGTGACCATGATAATCTGCAAGCAAAACATATATGAGTTGAATCACCAAAAGATTAACCTAACCGAGGAAAAGAACCTTCATGCAAGTGACTAGTAGAGGTTTGTGATTAATCTGCAGTCATATCAGTATGATTAGGAGTATTGCCTTTATGCTCACTTAAACAAGTGATAGTATTAAAATCACTGCCAATAAACCATTGGTGTGAAATGACAGAGGTGTCAATAATATTTTTCAAGTGTTCTTCTTTCTCTTCCTATGTGCTTTCCATATACTCTACTAGAAATGTCCCAAAAAGTACAATTGACCAATTGATCAAGCTCATTGATTTTTCAAAGAAAGAGTCTTGCGTTATTGTAAAATATCCAGACCTTGTTGTAAAAAACATCCCAGGAGTCCGTGAAGCCTAGCTTAAACATGTAGGAGTCCAGCTTATTTGGAGCCACAATTGGCTCAATAACAAGAAAATCAATTGAGTAGGATTTTACTTGAGAAGTAAGTCTGTTAAGGGATGACTTAATCCTACAAACATTCCAGAAAAATATGTATTCAGTAATATGTATACGATACACTTGAAAATGTAGACAAGGATGCAAGTTGGAAGGAGAACAGATCAAATATTTCTTTTTACCAGTGAGAACGGCTACTATTCTCATTCACATTGTTGGATCCCACAGCCCGTGCACTGCTTCCAGCCTGCAACACACTCCATACTTCGTTAATATTCTCAACTCTAGCTTCTACTATTCCCGGTATGTGATGAAATTTACAATAGAAGATATTACCTATGAGTATACTAAAACACACACATGACCTTAAAATAGCTCCAACAATTATCCTAAATAGTTCATAAATTAGACCTTAATATACTCTAATGAGTCAAACAGTCTCATTAAGCATGCTGTGCCGCAGCAGACATCTATTCACAATCAAAGCTAAGTCACAATAGATGCAGATTTTGTAGCTTTTCATAAATCCACAACTGTTAGGCTTTAATGAGAAAAGCCTAGCGACATTTACATTTTCTTAACAGATCCGATTGAAACTAGAAGGAAACTCACAACTCCAGTTGGCGATTGGGTAGTGAAAAGAGACATTGCAGATATAGCAGATATCGCCGGAGTCGCTGCCCAGACGCCGTCGCCGGCCTGCCTTCTAGACACCTTCGCTGCTATTTTCGCCGGAGCAGAGGATGCTCGCTGGACTCCCCACTGTTTAATTCACCGGAAAAGATGGA